TCGTGATCTCCACCAGAATGATCTTTTAGTGCTATAAAGAAGCCTTGAGGATAAGTCATGATCTCCACCAGAATGATCTCTTAGCTGCGATAAAATAGCCTTGAGGATAAGTCGTGATCTCCACAAGAATGATCTCTTAGCTGCTATAAAGTAGCCCCAATCTGTTAGGAGACTACTATAAATGACACGCCCCACCAACACTTACAGGAGACAGACCGACGACCGGAGACCACTGCTTCTTTGATTCTCCATTCTCTCAAAGCTTGTATCTCTATTCTCCATACCTTTGAATTAATAAAATACCCGGCAACTGAAGCCATTGAAGAGTGGACGTAAGTCGAATTGACCGAACCACTATAAATCGTGTCTTCTTTAATTTTCTCATTGATTTCACTGCATTTATTACCTACACTTGACAGGTGGTGTGAAAAATCATTTTTGTGCATCATCAAATATAAATAAAAAAAATTATCAAATCATATCCTACTAGATATCCTAAACAACAATCCTTAAACTTTCTCATAACTAATTACTAGTTACTTGATTTTTTTTAAAAATAAAATTTTAAAATCTTCTTATTATTATTATAAATTTTCCCAATTTATTGAATAAGGAGATGTGAAAATAAAAAAGGTGAACAAAGAAACCCAAAAAAAAAAAGGAGAAAGAATAATAAATCTTATACATCGCACGTCAAGGTGCAAGTTCTTTAATAAACAAATGTAAGATTATAGTTGTAGACAAATAAATAAATAAATAAATATATAAATAGTTGTGGACAAAATATATTGGTATAGTTTCAAATTAAGAAAAAAGGCTATTTGAGTGGCAATGCAAGTAGGTGTCTTGCTTTCTTGACTAATGATTTACATGAATTTAGAAAATTATTTTGATGTAATTGATAGAATTCAGCTCTTTTTAATATTTTTTTCCCTATATTTTGTCAAAGAAAGATTATCAATTGTAATTTTTTTTTAGGATCCAATTAAAAATTTTGGTCAAAAAAGTTTATAAGATATGTGACCAATTAGGAAAATAATTAAGAAAAATGTAATGAAGGGATTCCTAATCTACAATTAATAATAATTCCTCACAACGTTGAATTATTATCGGAGGTTGTACTTAGATCTGTCAATCATGTTTGGTGAGATGAAATTTGTGTTAGGTCTTAGCAGGTTTGTGTCAAAAATTACTGTACTCATATTTGTTTTGTTTATTAATACGTGTTTGACAAATCGTGTCATATCAGAGTCGTATCGTATAATTATTTATTTTTGATTGAGTTGACTTATATCCGATTCGTTTACTAATTGTGTTATGCTAAGTTTACGTAACAGGTGACTTAAGGGAAGACCAAAATCTTTTAATTTAATATTGTATTCATGTTGTGTTAATAGATCATATCATATTTTGATGTCCCTAATTGTACTCAGTGCACCTTAACCTAATATTAAATGCCATTCTAATCTAATCATAATCCTCCAAAACTATCTGGATTTGAAAAGATTGCAAAGAATCTGCGTTTTCTTCGTAATTATCAAATAAAGTAGGGGCAATTTCCAATACAAAGTCCAGACACTAACATTTGTCACGTGATGTCTAACCAGAGTTAAATATCCCAACCTCATATTTAACCATAGTGGTTGAGTAAATGCCAAATATATACTCTTTTGGGTAAATAAAATGCAATATTACCATTTCCTTTTTAGAGAGAGAGAGAGAGAGAGAGACAAATATATATAAAATATAAAATATCAGCTTAGGGTTTGACTCAAAATGCCAATGTCGTGAAAATTTACAGGAGAGAGAGAGAGTGTGAGAGAGAGAGTCCAACCAGACGATTCCGGCAACTTCGGGGGTCGCCGGCCATAAGATCGATCTCTTATTGGCCCCACAAATTTGCGCTAAAACCAATTTCTCTGGAGCAAATTTATCGGTTTTTTGTAGAGAGGGAGTGAGAAACTGGGATTACATTTAGAGAGGGAAAGTGGGTTGAGATTTTTTTTTATATATGTGGAGGGAGAAAGAGTCAAATGTTAATTTGAACGTTGGGATCGGAGTGGCGAAGAGCTTTAAACAACAGACCGCGAGAATTTTGGAGGGTTCTTGATTTTGTGTGATTTATTTAATTTTTGTTTTCTACGCATGCAATCTGGTGGTGGGGCCCAGCAAGGCGGCCTTGGCGGGGGGGCCTCTGCTGGGCATGGGCGGAACCCAGTTTCTTCTTCGGCGTCGCCGTCGTCTTCTTCATCGGCCGTGTCGACACCACATTTAGGGTTTGATCAGCAGCAACAACAACAGCAGCAACAGCAGAGACAGGTTAGATTCTATGGGAATGGTTGAAGTTAGCTTTTTCCCTCTTGATTTGCTACGTGGGTTTTGAAATTGTCATTGTTTCGGCTAGTGGGTTTCACTGAATTTCAGTTTTCTTCTTTGATCTACTTGGTTAGGAAATTTTGCGTTGCTTTAGTGAATAGGTTTGGGTGAATTATTCGCTTTGTCACTGGTTTGATCTATGGGTTTCGAAGCTGGTCTTGTTTTGGCAAATGGGTTGACTGAATTGTGTAATTAATGGAGTTGACTAGCACATTTGGTCTGAATTCATGGTAAATCCTGTCTATCAGCTGTTCAGTTTGTGCTTGACTGATGTCTAATTATTTTAGTCACGTTGGGGCTCAATTGGGCTTGATTTGATGTAGAAGAAATTACCAATCGAGGTAACTTTGAAACTGTAAACAGTGTGCTTGAGTGACAAGGCAGGTGAGGAATTGTTTGTGCTTTTGATTTGGAGTTTATGTGGGTCCTTCTATTGATGCTGTCTCGTTTACGTAGTGTTGGACAATTGTATCTATTTTTTTTTTTTTTTGGTCATTGGACAATTCTATATTGACTGCATGTGATTCGCACATCTTGGCGTTGTTTAAGTGCTTATTTAGTTAAACTAAGACATATCCTTTTCTTGGAAGACTAATGGTATCATTGCAATGTTTGCTGCTTAACAAAGCTTATACCTCTGCCATTATACTCAGTTCAAACCCAGCCAAATATATAACTCAACCACTTGGTTTTAGATGTAAGAACTGCTTCAATGTGCCATTGGGGACTTGCTTCAGTTTAGTTATTGGTATCGTGTCCTTTATCGTTTTCCTTTTTCTTTCTGCCCTTTTATTAAAAGACTGTTTGAATCTCAAAAGTTTGATAGTTGGCTGAACATGGTGCAGTGAGCTCCTTTCAGAATCTCTTGAGTTCCAAAATATTGGGACTTCCTACTGCTTAACTGTATAAGATGTTTTTGGATTAGATTCTTCTCTACTTGTTTACATTAAAAGCTTGTGATATTCCTTTTCGTCCACTTCTATTTTGCCTTTTGGTTTTTAATCTTAACTAATATCTTTTGTCCATATGTTTCAAGACTAAGATTCTGAAAGGTTTCTATGTTCGTGGCTTCTTGAGGGAAATAAATTCATTGAAGACGAATTAGAAGACAAGACGAAATAGTAGTGACATAGGAGCTGTTGCAATTACATTTTGACACTAATGCGTTTCTCCTTTTTTAAAAGAGGAAAAAATCACTGGCACTAATGATCTGCATGTCTTCTTGGTACTAGGTATTATAAGTTTGAACCACTGTTTCACCTTGGCAATTTTTTTGGATATCGCTTGGATTTTATGCCGAAGTTTTGATTCTTAAAGATTGTAATTTTTCCTCTCATTTATGAAATAATTTCTACATGTGTTTAATGATGCTTATCTTGTCAAGCATCCTCATTATTGTTTATAAGTTAATGTTTCAAAGATTCTAAACTTTTTGTAGTCCTGGGTGATAAAGATTATTGATTTGTCAATTGACATCTTTTCCCCTTTTTTATTTTCCTTTTCTTCTCCTGACTTATTCCAGCGTTTTCTTAGAGATCTCACTTTACTAGATGTGTGGCACTGGTGAAACGGCCTTTATTCTTGATGTGTTTGTATATCTCAATGAAAGTTTAATTTTTGGATAGTATACTGACTTCCATATCAAAATCAAGATTGCTTTGAAGCCGTTAATTATGTCTCTTAGGTTTCTAGTCATTATATTNTCATTTGGATAGTATAGTGACTTCCATATCAAAATCAAGATTGCTTTGAAGTCGTTAATTATGTCTCTTAGGTTTCTAGTCATTATATTTTTGCTGCTGGTCTGATTCNTAATTTTTGGATAGTATACTGACTTCCATATCAAAATCAAGATTGCTTTGAAGCCGTTAATTATGTCTCTTAGGTTTCTAGTCATTATATTTTTGCTGCTGGTCTGATTCAGTGGTATTCATATGTGCTCAAACTTTTGAAGTCTATTTGTCACTGGAAAACACCTGCATCTTATGCTATGATTTTGATTCATGAGATTTATTATGGATTGATTTCCATTGTGACTTCTCTTTCATGGTTATCTCATTTCTCTTTTTATTTTATTTCCGGCGTTTTATATGGATCATGTGCTTACATGACTTGTGAATGAATTCTGTTTCTTGGAAATTTACTGCAGTCATTGGCGCAACATTTACTTAGAAAACCTGATGGAAGTGAAGCCATTTTAGCCTACCAGGTTGGTGGTCTCCATGGAGTGTTGGGTGGGGGCAACTTTGTTACATCTTCTGCCTCCATTCAACTTCCTCAACAATCCAGAAAGTTTGTTGATGTGGCCCCCCAACATCATGGCTCACCCCACACTCGAGAGGAGGGTCAAAATAGGAGTCAAGGTTTTGAGCCACAAGTGCTGAACCCCGTCCATCAGGCTTACCTGCAATATGCTTTCCAGGCGGCCCAACATAAACCAGCTATGGGGGTGCAAACTCAGCAGCAACTGAAAATGGGTCTGACGGGGCCTCCAGGGAAGGATCAGGACTCACGGATGGGAAATCTGAAAGTGCAGGAGCTCATTTCCATGCAGGCAGCTAACCAGACCCAAGCATCATCGTCCAAGAAAGCATCTGAGCATTTTGTTAATGCTGATAAGCAAATGGAGGTGGGACACCCGTCGTTTTCTGATCAGAGGAGCGAATCAAAACCTCCTACCCTGCCAACGTCACTGGGTCAACTAATGCCAGCCAATGTTTTGAGGCCTGTGCAGGGTACACAGTCGCAGCAGAGCTTCCATAATATAACAAACAACCAGCTTGCGATAGCTGCACAGATGCAGGCAATGCAGGCTTTGGCACTCGAACGTAATATTGATTTGACTGTTCCTGCAAATGCCAGTTTGATGGCTCAGCTTATTCCACTCATGCAGTCCAGGATGGTTGCACAGCAAAAAGCAAATGAAAGCAATTTGGGTGCACAGACCTCTTCTATGCCTCAGCCAAAGCTGCAGGTTTCTTCCCCACAAGTTCCGAGCGAGAGTTCTCCCCATGGTAATTCTTCAAGTGATGTATCTGGGCAGTCTGGCTCTACTAAAGCTAGGCAGTCAGCTCCACCTGGCCCTGCCATAACAACTCCAAATGCTGCGATGGCAAACAACTCTAACAACATCCAAATGCAACAGTTCTCTGTACATGGCAGAGAGAACCAGTTGCCTCCTAGACATCCAGTTATGATCGGTAATGGAATGGCTCCCATGCATCCCCCACAGTCCTCTGCGAACTTGAACCAGGGCGTAGATCATTCATTGCTTGCCAAAAATACTGTAAGTGGCTTTGAAACTCTGCAGAAGCAGTCCACCAGGCAGCTGAACCAATCATCTCCACAAGCTGCTGTATCATCCATTGATGGCGGCTTGGCCAATCCCTTCTCAAGTCATGGTGGATCAATGCTTCAGATGCGACAACAGAGTTTTGGGTTTACCAAACAGCAACTGCATGTTCTTAAAGCGCAAATATTGGCTTTTAGGCGTCTAAAGGTTTGCCAATTCACACACCTACGCACATATGGTGCCTCAAGTTACTTCCTTTGAATACTGAACACCTACCACCTAAACGCTCAATTTCTTTGTTTATCTTTCATTTTATTATTTATTGGACTTTTGGCAGAAAGGAGATGGAACTCTGCCACGGGAACTGCTTCAAGCTATAGCACCGCCACCCCTTGAGACACAGATGCAGCAGGCGATTCTTGCTCCTGGGACAGTGAATCAGGATAGATCTGCTGGGAAAAATGTGGAAGACCATGTAAGACATTTAGATTCAAGTGAGAAGGATCCTCAGATTGTGACATCAACTAGTGGACTGAATAACTCTAAGGAGGAAGCATATTCTGGCGATGAGAAAGCAAGTGTTTCAGCCTTTAATATGCAAGGTATCACAGCTGCGATGAAAGAACCTGCATCAGTGGTCCCTCCTGGAAAAGAAGAGCAGCAAACTACTTCATTTTCTGGTAAACCAGAGCAGGAGATAAATCACAGTAATCAGAAAACTCCTATTAGAAGTGATTTAGCTGCAGATAGGGGTAAAGCAATTGCACAGCAGGAAACAGTCTCTGATGCAGTGCAAGTCAAGAAACCTGTACATGCAAGCAATGCTCCTCAGCCTAAAGATGTTGGTTCCACCAAGAAGTATCATGGACCGCTATTTGATTTCCCATTTTTCACTCGTAAACATGACACTTTTGGATCAGCAATGATGATGAATAACAACAACAATTTAAAACTGGCATATGATATCAAGGATCTTATAACTCAGCAAGGCATGGAAGAAGTGCTTAAAAGAAAAAGGGATCAAAATATAAAGAAGATTGGTGAAATACTAGCAGTAAACTTAGAGAGGAAAAGGATTAGACCAGATCTTGTGTTACGGTTGCAAATTGAAGAAAAGAAACTTAAGCTCGTGGATCTTCAGGCACGTCTGAGGGATGAAGTTGAGCAAGAGCAACAGGAAATAATGGCAATGCCTGACAGGCCATATCGGAAGTTTGTTCGGCTATGCGAGCGCCAACGCATGGAGCTCTCAAGGCAAGTACAGACCACTCAGAAAGCCATCAGAGATAAGCAACTGAAATCCATTTTTCAGTGGCGTAAGAAGCTTCTTGAGGCTCATTGGGCCATTCGCGATGCACGGACTGCCCGCAACAGGGGAGTTGCTAAATACCATGAGAGAATGCTGAGGGAGTTTTCAAAGAGAAAAGATGATGGCCGTAATAAAAGGATGGAAGCATTGAAGAATAATGATGTTGAGAGATACAGGGAGATGTTGCTGGAGCAACAGACTAGCATGCCTGGAGATGCTGCAGAGAGATATGCTGTTCTCTCATCATTTTTAAGTCAGACAGAAGACTATCTTCATAAACTAGGAGGTAAAATAACAGCTACAAAGAACCAGCAGGAAGTCGAGGAGGCAGCAAATGTTGCTGCGGTTGCTGCTCGAGCTGAGGCATGTCCTTCTCTATCTCTGTCTCCCTCTTCAAACTGTATTCTGGTTAATGAGAAACAACATTCACCCTTCTCATGTCATCTTATGCATTTGATTGGTTTCATACGGTCATTCATATATTAGACTTTTTGTTGACAAAAGGGTCTTTCTGAAGAAGAAGTAAGAGCAGCAGCAGCTTGTGCAGGAAACGAAGTAATGATAAGAAATCATTTCTTGGAACTGAATGCGCCAAAGGATAGCTCATCTGTCAATAAGTAAGTTAACTATTAATATCATTAGGTGCTGAGGAATTTTTTAATTTGAGGATATACAGACAGTGGGTTAAAGAGGTTTTTCAATAACATTAGGTGTAGTCTGTTGGTTTGCATCATCCAGTTCTAGTAATCCATTAGAATGTTTCTGGATGCACATTTTCATTCGATCTAATTGATGTATTTTTTGTGCATTTTCCCTTAGTTCATTCCTTTTACTTGTCCCCAGGTATTACAATCTTGCACATNGTAATCCATTAGAATGTTTCTGGATGCACATTTTCATTCGATCTAATTGATGTATTTTTTGTACATTTTCCCTTAGTTCATTCCTTTTACTTGTCCCCAGGTATTACAATCTTGCACATGCCGTGAATGAAAGGGTCATGAGGCAGCCCTCAATGTTACGTGCAGGAACCTTACGCGACTATCAGCTTGTAGGTTGCAATTTCTTGGATATATTTACTGTAACTAAATTTCATTTTATTGTTTCTTCTGTTGCAAATTGTCCTGTTGACTTGATTATTGTGTTCAACCGTTGTAGGTTGGATTGCAATGGATGCTTTCTTTGTATAACAACAAATTGAATGGAATTTTGGCCGATGAGATGGGTCTTGGGAAGACTGTGCAGGTAAATATTTCTTATATTTTGGTTTAAATTTCTGCCTCTTCTGATCTAGGACGGATAGCTCTTTTATAGTTTGTTCTGGGAAAATTGCCTTGTGTTTTGTATCATTTTTGTGGGGTTCATTCTTTCTGATAACTGACAAGTGTTACTTCAGTAAACTATGGAGAACTCGCTGATATATGTGTCATATATGATTTTCTTCTTGCCTGCACAGGTTATGGCATTGATCGCTTATTTGATGGAGTTCAAAGGGAATTATGGTCCACATCTCATTATTGTTCCAAATGCTGTTTTGGTGAACTGGAAGGTTGGTATTATGAAATTATCTATTTATGTGTGGCTTCGTTCACCAATCAACATGACTAATTTAGCTCGTATTTCAGAGTGAGTTTCATAATTGGCTGCCTTCTGTATCTTGCATTTTCTATGTTGGTGGAAAGGATCAAAGATCAAAACTGTTCTCTCAAGTAAGATGCACTGATTTAGTAATTTTGATATTAAGCTTTGGATATGATTACTGAATTTCCATTCTATTATCTATTATTTAGGAGGTCTGTGCCATGAAATTTAATGTCCTTGTGACAACATACGAGTTCATCATGTATGATCGTTCAAAACTTTCAAAAGTTGATTGGAAGTATATCATAATTGATGAAGCACAAAGAATGAAGGATAGGGAATCGGTTCTAGCACGTGATCTTGATAGATATCGCTGCCAAAGGCGCCTGCTTCTCACAGGGACACCCTTACAGGTTTGTTCATTAGGCCTTGCCCTGAGCTGTGACATTTTTATGCGGTATGTTTGTGGTTGTGTCTTAAATTGCTCTATAGAATAAAATGTATCTTGTTCAGAACCTTTGTTGGATTTGGCATTACATGTTCACAAGATCGTCAGAATATGCTTCTTTTCTCCCACAAAGTTTTAAATAGTAGATATCCATTTGACAAAGGCATGCACAGGCCTATGGTGTGGGTGGGAGTGTGTTGGCAGAGAGCTCAAGCTCATTGAATCAAATGTCTTTGAACTTAGTCGAATATGGCATCAAGGGCAGGACAGAACCTTTCTAAAGTTGTTAAATGTGGTTTTGGTATGAAAACTTAATTTTGATTTTCTTTGAGGAACTAATAAATAGAGAAGCTAGTCCTCTTTTTCATTTTTACTGCAAGATACCAAATCTATGCTGATGGTAATTTCTGAAAATGAGACATGTATGTAGGACAGCTATTCTGATTTGAGACAAGTCCAAGGTCATTATATCCCGAATTGAATTTGTCAAACTATCTGCCTGTTGACAGATAAAAGGGCGATAGCCCCCTGCCCTCTCTAGAGTTATTTTGCTACCAAATTCAAAAGGTCATGGGGACCCCAGAATCTGGCAGACCTTGGTTGAATACACTTAGATAATCCTGCAAGTATTTTGTTTATATATGTATTTACTGTTTAGGCAAATGGTAAGAAGGGATACCTATTTGAACCTTAACCTCTGCTGATGGTCCCAAGGCTGGCCATATTATTAGACCAACAGTTCACTGTCCTGCTCTGCCTGACAGGAGTTTTATTATGGTGTAAATTGATTGCTTTTGGTTGACATTACATGCAGAATGTGGTAAGGAGAGGAAGATATACTCTTTGATTGGTTTTTCATGATAGACATTGGGCATAATTTTTCACTGAAAGAGCTATAAATCTGTCTGTTTATTTGTTGGCTTTCTTCTTTATACTCTCTTTGATTAGTTTTTGGAATTGACGTCAGCTTTTCCACTCCTTTCAGAATGATCTCAAAGAACTATGGTCACTTCTTAATCTACTCCTTCCAGAAGTGTTTGATAATCGGAAAGCATTTCATGATTGGTTCTCTAAACCCTTTCAAAAGGAAGGTCCCACACATAATGCTGAGGATGACTGGCTTGAGACAGAGAAGAAGGTCATTATTATCCATCGACTTCATCAAATCCTGGAGCCTTTCATGCTAAGACGCCGTGTTGAAGATGTGGAAGGGTCACTTCCTCCCAAGGTATGCTAATAACAATCCGAGGTGGTCTTCTCCTTTAATTTGAATTTGATCTGATAGCAATATCAATTGCAGGTTTCCATCATTTTGAGATGCAGAATGTCAGCTATTCAGAGTGCCATTTATGACTGGATCAAATCTACTGGCACTCTTCGAGTCGACCCTGAAGATGAAAAGCTTAGGGTTCAAAAAAATCCAATTTACCAGGCTAAAACATATAGAACTCTGAATAATAGATGTATGGAACTCCGAAAAGCTTGCAATCATCCTTTGCTTAATTACCCATATTTCAATGACTTCTCCAAGGATTTTCTTGTTAGATCATGTGGGAAACTGTGGGTTCTGGATAGGATTCTAATAAAGCTTCAGAGAACAGGGCATCGGGTATTGCTCTTTAGTACCATGACCAAACTCCTAGATATATTGGAGGAGTATTTGCAGTGGCGGCGACTTGTGTACAGACGAATTGATGGGACAACTAGCCTAGAAGACCGAGAATCAGCTATTGTGGACTTTAATAGCCCCAATACTGATTGCTTTATTTTCTTGCTCAGCATTCGTGCTGCTGGACGAGGTTTGAATCTTCAGACTGCCGACACGGTTGTAATATATGATCCTGATCCAAATCCAAAAAATGAGGAACAGGCGGTTGCTAGAGCCCATCGCATCGGGCAGACTAGGGAAGTGAAAGTAATCTATATGGAAGCAGTGGTTGACAAGATCTCAAGCCATCAGAAAGAGGATGAATTTAGGAGTGGAGGTGCGGTTGATTCAGAGGATGACCTTGCCGGTAAGGATCGGTATATGGGATCTATTGAGAGCCTCATACGAAATAACATTCAACAGTATAAGATTGACATGGCTGATGAAGTTATCAATGCTGGACGGTTTGACCAGAGGACAACCCATGAAGAGAGGCGCTTGACATTAGAGACATTATTGCATGACGAAGAGAGATATCAAGAAACTGTCCATGATGTTCCCTCACTTCAGCAGGTGAACCGCATGATTGCTAGGAGCGAAGAAGAAGTAGAGCTCTTTGATCAAATGGATGAAGAATTTGATTGGACAGAGGAGATGTCAAGATATGACGAAGTTCCTAAGTGGCTGAGTGCTAGTACTAGCGAAGTGAATGCAACTGTTGCTAATTTATCTAAAAAACCATCAAAGAAAACTTTAATTGGGGGAGGCATTGGCGTGGAATCCAGTGAAATGGCGTCTGAAACTGAGAAAAAACGGGGACGGCCCAAGGGAAAGAAGTTACCTATTTATACGGAATTGGATGATGAAAATGGGGAGTTCTCTGAAGCAAGCTCTGAAGAAAGGAACGGATATTCAGTGCAAGAAGAGGATGGGGAATTTGAAGATGAAGAATTTAGTGCTGCTGTTGGGATACCTCCAACCAATAAAGACCCATCAGAAGATGCTCCAGTTTCCGCTGAGGTGTATGAGTACCTCCAAGCTTCAGAAAGCACGAGAAACAATCGTATACTTGAAGAAGCAGGTTCCTCAGGATCATCATCGGACAGTGGAAGATTGACGCAAATGGTGTCACCATCTATATCTTTGCAGAAGTTTGGGTCTCTTTCTGCATTGGAGGCTAGGCCTAGTTCTCTTTCTAAAATGCTGGTATGTTTCATCTCATCTTTTACTAATGTTTTGCTGTTGCCATCATTTACTTGTCCTAGCTGCTTAATTATCTTCTAACATATGCTGGCAGCCTGATGAATTAGAGGAAGGGGAAATTGCAGTGTCTGGGGAATCTCATATGGATCTCCAGCAATCTGGTAGTTTGATCCATGATCTTGACGAAGCTGAAGATGAACAGGTTTTGCAACCCAAGATAAAACGGAAACGTAGCATTCGTGTTCGGCCTCGGCAGGCAGAGAGGCCAGAAGAGAAGTCCAACGAGAGGTTCTCTCTCCCTCGGAAAGATTCTTCTCAGTTGCCTTTTCAGGTGGACCAGCGATCTAGAACCAACTCGGAACATAAAATGCTTGCAGAGCCCAGTGTTTTCAAGAATGATCAAAGTGATTCATCCTTGAAAAGTAAGAAAAATTTACCTTCAAGGAAAACCCCTAGTACGGCAAAAACACGTGCATCACTGAAATCTGGTAGAGTGAATTCTTTGTCTGCTCCACCAGAAGATGTCGCTGAACACTCTAGAGAAAGCTGGGAAAGTAAAATTGTGAATGCAAGTGGGAGTTCAGTCAGTGGAACTAAGATGTCTGAGATCATTCAAAGAAGGGTACGTTACATCAAACGATTATCTGTTTTCTATTGGGTTTGGATTTTGAAGAAAAAAAGTCGGCTGTTAGTTTTTTTAGTTGTATCCTTCTATTAACATTTGGATAGAATAGAATACCTACTGATTGTTGGCATTGAGAAACCCTTGAATATGGCCTGCTCTCATGTTCAAAGTCTTAATATGATCTTCTGAATTCTTGTTATCTACTATGTTGTTTTAGTCTGCTCTAGTCAGGTTTGGTTTCCTTGTGTTTTTTATTCCCCCTATTTCTGAGAAGTTCATGTCAATACATTTTTTGTGACCCTTCACTCATAAAGTCACTTGTCTATTTGTCCACCTTGTATTTGGAATTTTCTTTGATAATTTAATGGAAAATATGTTCTTGCACTTACCATTTTCTTCAACTCTTGGACTATTTAAGCAACCTTTTGTGTGTGTGTGTTTTTGGGTCGAACTTGTTGATTTTCATTGATTTCTGAGTATTATAGATGCACTCTTGAGCATGTGTCCAACACCCGGGGGAAACAAAAGAAAACTCAAGCATATATGCAGTTGAACCTCTTGCACTCTTTTTTTTTTTTTTTTATTAACACGTACTAGGAGGAAATTTTTAAGAAAGTTTGTCCATAGTAATTGTTTTGAGGATGCTTTTAACATGGTGATTTTATATTATGATCACACATATAGATGGTTGTTTGGTTGGATCATATAATTTGCAGGTATTAAGATTTATTTCTATTTCTACCTCATATTGAGAGTCGTTATATTTCAGATTTATTTCTATTTCTACCTCTTTGCCTTCCCCCCTTCTTTTTTGGTTGTAGACTACTGAGTCTCTTCATATTGCAGTGCAAGAATGTTATTTGCAAGCTCCAAAGGAGAATAGACAAAGAAGGCCCTCAGATTATACCACTGCTAACAGACCTATGGAAGAGATTTGAAAGCTCTGGACATATGAGTGGGACTGGGAACAACATTCTGGATCTACGAAAGATTGATCAGCATGTTGACAGATTTGACTATAATGGAGTAATGGAGCTTGTTTCAGATGTGCAGCTTATGTTAAAAAGCGCAGTCCAGTATTATGGCTTCTCGCATGAGGTATGGCTGCTTTTCATTTGATCATTACGGACTATTGATCAGCTTCGTCAACTTTTCATTGCGCAGCTAGATTGCTAATTGCTTTTTAGAGTAACTACGAGGAAGAAATGTGTGCCCAAAAAAAAACTGAGGAAGAAAGATTTCAAAGTTCTGGCAGCCACTAAGGCAATAATCTCAAAAGATTCATGTAATGAGTCTTGTTGTGTACCCATATTCCTGGAGTTTGTGTCATCAACCCATTTCTGCTACCCAATATTGTAAAAGTACGGCACTGGTGTGCATACCCATGTTGGGGGAAAAGCATTTATAATCTGTCTAAAACTACTCAGCTGGTGCAGTAAAGCATGAATAATATGATTGTTGAAAGGATGTCCAACAGCCCATGCATTGGACATAATTCTCATGAGTGGCAAAACTCCTTTTGGGGATGTTTGGCTGATATGAAGTTTAGAAAAATAAAAGGAAACAGAAACAAGTGAGCTCAAATTTTAAATTCCAGTTTCTCTCTACTGGTCTATGCATCCCATCCAAAGGTGAAGGTGCAGGACTTATTCTGTTATGTTCAGGACTCAACTTCGTGGTATTTTTCTTTAGTCAAGGAAAAAAAAAAGTTTGGTTGGAAGCCAGTCTTCCTTGAAGTTGCTTTCGAGGGCCAAATTTAATTTTGATTAGAATGAGCTGCTTGCCTGAAACAATGGAATTTTAATTTTTTTTGGTATATAACTGACATGCGGGGATACTGCAAAGCTAAAAGAATGACCTAATCTTTCTTTCCACAATTGTTTAGATGTTTCAAAGTCCTTTTAGTGTCTTTGATGATGACTTCCTGAACTAATTAGAGAAATTGACCAAGGTTCCATAATGTGTTGTCTGTTTCTCTCCCTCCTGTCTATTTGGGTTCTAAATGAATTGTACGATTACAATGATATAGGTGAGATCTGAAGCAAGGAAAGTGCACGATCTGTTTTTTGACATCCTAAAGATAGCATTTCCGGATACGGATTTCCGAGAAGCCCGGAATGCCGTCTCTTTCTCCGGTCCAGTAGCCACCTTTACTTCTGCTCCATCCTCAAGACAGGTGCTTGTTGGTCAAAGCAAGCGACACAGACTGATAAATGAGGTGGAACCCGACCCAAGTCCTCCCCAGAAGCCACTGTCCCGTGGACCACCCATAGCTACTGGCGAAGACACAAAGACCAGGAGCCATGTGGCTCAAAAAGAATCAAGGCTCGGAAGTAGTAGCAGCCGGGAGCTGGGCCAACAGGATGATCCTCGACCATTCACCCATCCAGGGGAGCTTGTCATCTGCAAAAAGAAGAGGAAAGATAGGGAAAAATCAGCCATGAAGCCCGGGAATGGGTCAGCTGGTCCTGTATCGCCCCCTAGCATCGGTGGTAATATTCGAAGTCCAGGTTCGAGTTCAATCCTGAAGGAAGGAAGATCAATCCAGCAGACTACCCAGCAGCAAGGGTGGGCTAACCAATCTCCTCAACCGGCAAGTGGTGGCTGTGGGACTGTTGGGTGGGCAAATCCTGTAAAAAAGATGAGAACAGATGCCGGGAAAAGGCGGCCGAGCCATTTATGACTGTTTTAAAGGTTGTTAGTATATGGTGTTCTGAAAATATTTGTTGCTACCAGTTTGAGGCGTTCAGTGTATAATCAGCCCTTCTAGGTGCTCAATACTGGTGATAATGTATGCTTCTTTCTTGTATCAAACTTCCCTTTCCATAATAGAAATCTAATAGTTTTTAGCCTNGTTGATAATGTATGCTTCTTTCTTTCTTTCTTGTATCAAACTTCCCTTTCCATAATAGAAATCTAATAGTTTTTAGCCTGCCACTCCTAATAAATTTTATAGTGGGGTGTGTATTTTCTTCTGGCAATCTTCTGATCTTTAGGATCCAAATTTGAGTTAAATTTTTTATTTATTAGTTATATCAGTCCATACGAATACGACACAAAAATAAACAGGTTGAGTCGACACAACACGATTTGTTAAATGAGTTGGGTTATGGTTGATTCGTGTTCGACACAAACTTATAATGATACAATATGAATATATTTGAGACGACATGATTGTCACTCTTATCCTTAATTTAGATTGTGTTATTTTGGGTTAATGTTTATTGAATCTTAACCAGATCTTGATGGTGCTATGATATTAACTAAACTTGTTTGTTAATTGTGCCATTTTTGGATTGACAGCATGTGAAATTCGGGAAAATTTGAATTTTTTATAAAAAAAAAAAAAAAAAAAAGGGACAAAATGATAATTTGTCATTATAGTGCGGGTTAAAAACTGGTATTTTTCTAGACCTCGGATGATGAAACGGACCTCACCGTTGGATTCGTCTCACAAAATCTAGTTACCCAGACAAATTTCGTCGAATTTCGAGATAGTCGGGTTTTTTATATTTTTTGAGGTGACGACAGTCTGGTGACTCTGAAAAACAAAATTTTTATCAAAATTTGAAATTTAGAAAATATTTTAAATAAAGTTCATAAAAAATATTTTGAACTTAAACCGGTACGAAATTTAATCATTTCGAAGCAAAAAACGGAGCCGAACAAAGGAGAACATTTGACGCAACGTGGGCCAAGTCTTTAAAAGTATAAAAGGGGCATAATATCTGAAAAAAATCAGATTTTCTTACCCAAGAGGCCGACTGGTTAAGGCGTGAGAAGAGAGAAAGAGAGAAAATGTGTTTTTCAAGTTTTCTTTCGACGATTTCTCATGATCCGTTGGTCGGAATCCGTCACACCAAGAACTAAAGTCGATCTACGCGACGAGGCTACGCGTGGATATCAAAAACGAAAATTTTTACCAAAGATTCAAAGACAAAGTCTTGAAGGATCAAAACTTTGAGGTTTGTTTTGGTGAAATAGAAGTTTCTACACTTCTATTAAGGTAGGGGGTTCTCCTACTTGGGTCTATTCTTAGCCTAGAATGTCTATGTGGGATGGTTGAATATATATGTTTATATATATATTGACTCATTTATGTATATGGCTAAGGAAATGGGTGTGGAATTGGGCCTATATAAATTCCTAGTAAAGATTGGCAAAGGAAGTTACTTGTGTGATTCCTTGGGATTTGATGTGTTTGGGTATGTTATGTACTCAAATATGATTTATAAAAATGTGGGCAATATTATGTGATAACAAGAAAAGTCGGTACATTTTTTTACTCTATACTAGTTGTCGTAGAATCGTCATAATTTTTGATCTAACTGTTGGATTGAGCTGAAATTTTGACACAATATAGACGACATCTAGATCTACAACTTTTTTGTTTTGAACTTTTCTAAATTCTGAGTGGATCATAGTCAAAATGGAGAAAAACAGAGGTAATTCCATCAGCGGGAGCTAGTGCTGGTGCCTTTGTTATCAAACACCAATACCCCTTTGGTTTCTTAACTTCTAAGCCTCCAAATCCTCATGTAATGTGGTCATACCATCACCACACATCCAAGATAGTTGCAAGGTTCTAAAATACTTGAATTATGTGATTAGATGATTGGTGTCTTGAAGGTGTTTGTTGTGTTTGATAAAATAGCATGCTTGGAAAATATGGTAAAGTGAAATTACATGCTTATGATGTGATTTACAATTATAATGTTATGTTGATGTATGCTTAACGATATGTTAGCATTATGATGATCATGGAATTTATATGTCTGGATATAATTGATCATGAGATATGTTAAAATTGTTCATATGACATTCATTACATATTGAACATGACAGTAGATTACAATTATGCATTACATTGCATAGGCACGGGGTAAACACATCCATAACCATGAGCATGAGTGTGTGGTTGCATGGTTGGTTAATCATCATCCTTGGTGGTTGGTGGTGGGCTCGGGAAAGTAGGATGGAACATCCTATTGAGTTGCATAGTTGCATGAAAAACTTGGGTTCGGTACAGTTGGACCAAGGTTCAACAAAGTTGCAAGAAAAACATGTGTTAGGTACAACAAGTAGGGCTAGACACTTCATCGGATGAAAAATCCGGCCACTTGGTTCATACACTTACCGGCGGTGAAATTCTAGAAAAGTGTAACGGGGTACGGAGTCGGAGGTGCGATTCTTGAATCCGATACCTAATAAAGGCACTTCATTTTAATATAAAAATTATTCATTTGATGGGAAACATCCAAGAATAAATTGATTTTATGACATATGGTTGATTTTAAAATGATCTTTGGATATGATTTATCAAAGACGTTTGTTTTACACATATGCGTCGCATTGTGTTGTGGGAGTCAGTGTGTGCTCAGGATAGCATGCATACATGAGTGAGTTTCGTCTCATTACATGACATGACATCATAAGATTCTATCTTGAATAACATGTTCTTATTTGGAATGGAAGAAGTTGTTTGTGACATGTGCGCATTGCATAAGCATTTTAGGTGGGGAGTAGCCTCTGTAAAAAAATTTTCTACTGAGCATTGACTCACCCTATATGGGAAAACATTTCAGGTGGAGAACCGGTGAATGGCTCTACTTTGGACCTTCATGTTTGAAGAAAGCCGAATGTGGCTTTATTTTGTGTTAATGTAAAACATTTTATGGAAATAATGTTTTGGGCATGTAATCTTTTGCAAATAATTGTAATAAAACTTATATAAACTATTATTAAACTAACCTTGCATGTGTTGATATAAATATGGATAATTGGACCCGGTGTGGTCAATGTTTACGTATAATTGGACCCGGTGTGGTCATTGTTGAATATTAGACCTCGGATGGGTCTTGTTATTATATGATTGCACAAGTTGAGTTTTGGGTAGAGCTTCTCGTACAAAGGAGACTCTACGCGAATTTCGTCAAAATTATGGTTCCCGATAAATAGAGCATAATGGTGTGATATCGAATTACTCGGTATCCACGGGTATTCCGCGAATTGATGGGTAATCAACGGACCCTCAGATTTTGGGGTGTCACACAACATAAATGATGAACCAAAAAATTCATAATTAGGTTTCCTTTCTTTAGGTTTTCAATTTAAAAAATCTTCTCATATATTTTTAGCTAAAGTGTTCTGGTATGTTAAAATCAAGTTAATCATATATAATACTAACAAGACATATTTATTATTTGTATCAATGGATTATATTATTTTAAAATGCATGCCGACAAATACTTAATTTTAGTTCACTACATACTTGCCGAGCTTGTATCATTTTAAAATGTGAAAAATTACAATTCCAAAGTCGCTTTATATTATTTGTGTTGCTGTTTTGTTTTAGTATAAAAAAATCTCATCCAAATTTATCATTTTAAGGCTCAATTTGTATAGAACCACCCCTATCAAACTTGTTTAAATATGGTTGTAGTGGAGCTTACATTTTTGGCATAACAGATGTTGGTGATGGCAAAAGATGGTGATTGATTGAGATGAGGCCACAGCTACATACGCAGCCATAACACTCCATAGATGGATGACACAACCCAGACCCATTATTGTTGGCCTACGTACTGGGCCCCACTGTGTACTGCTCTTTCGTGCTTTNGCCAAGTCTTTAAAAGTATAAAAGGGGCATAATATCTGAAAAAAATCAGATTTTCTTACCCAAGAGGCCGGCTGGTTAAGGCGTGAGAAGAGAGAAAGAGAGAAAATGTGTTTTTCAAGTTTTCTTTCGACGATTTCTCATGATCCGTTGGTCGGAATCCGTCACACCAAGAACTAAAGTCGATNTTCTTTCCTGTTTTTTCCTCTCTGGAAGTGCACTATCTTTCTCAGGCCTTTCATTATGGGGTCATTTCCAAATCAANTGCTTTCTGTTTTTTCCTCTCTCTGGAAGTGCACTATCTTTCTCAGGCCTTTCATTATGGGGTCATTTCCAAATCAATTTGCTACTGCTAAACAATTTGNACTTGATGTGTTTGGGTATGTTATGTGCTCAAATGTGATTTATAAAAATGTGGGCAATATTATGTGATAACAAGAAAAGTCGGTACATTTTTTTACTCTATACTAGTTGTCGTAGAATCGTCATAATTTTTGATCTAACTGTTGGATTGAGCTGAAATTTTGACACAATATAGAAGACATCTAGATCTACAACTTTTTTGTTTTGAACTTTTCTAAATTCTGAGTGGATCATAGTCAAAATGGAGAAAAACAGAGGTAATTCCATCAGCGGGAGCTAGTGCTGGTGCCTTTGTTATCAAACACCAATACCCCTTTGGTTTCTTAACTTCTAAGCCTCCAAATCCTCATGTAATGTGGTCATACCGTCACCACACATCCAAGATAGTTGCAAGGTTCTAAAATACTTGAATTATGTGATTAGATGATTGGTGTCTTGAAGGTGTTTGTTGTGTTTGATAAAATAGCATGCTTGGAAAATATGGTAAAGTGAAATTACATGCTTATGATGTGATTTACAATTATAATGTTATGTTGATGTATGCTTAACGATATGTTAGCATTATGATGATCATGGAATTTATATGTCTGGATATAATTGATCATGAGATATGTTAAAATTGTTCATATGACATTCATTACATATTGAACATGACAGTAGATTACAATTATGCATTACATTGCATAGGCACGGGGTAAACACAT